AGCTTTCCTACTCCTCCGATGCTGCTTGGCCTGCTGTGTTCATCCAGCTCTACACCTTGTTATCTCTTTCATCAGTTTGATCTGGATTCAAATCCAAATTCCACTCCAAAATTAGACCAACCAACTGGATCATCCAACTTACTAATTATTAATCCAGGCAAATATGTAAAGCTTCTGAGCATGAGCATATTATGAGTCTAGAGGTAAATTTTAACTTAAAACTCTAGACACTGGTGGGAAACTAGTAAATCTGAGAATAAGAACTTACCCAGATTGAAATTTGGGATTCTTGCCCATGGGTAGGTTATTATAAAACAACCATGCCCATCAGTAAAAGGTTAATGGGTAAATCAGTGGAGAGTTTCCTCTGTCACACAAAGCTCCACTCAAACTAAGGCAGTGCTCCACCTTCAGGCCTCAACAGTAGAACTTGAAAATGTTGCACAAAAAGTTTTCTCATTAGGGATCGAGCCAGGAGTTTTAAACAGACTTAGAAATAGAAGGAAATGTATGATACTTCATTTATTATACATATTCCCCTTTATAAGATATAGAATAATGTTACTTCTGGAATGACGAGAAAAGATCCTCTCAAAGAAAGTTTGCTCGAAATGAAAATGACAATTTTTGCAATTCGTACCATTTGCCATGATAGCTAATAATGATGGTTTTAGAACTTATTACATAGGCAGAATTGAGTTGTAAAAGAAGCTAAATCATTCTTACTCTGCTGTAGCAACTGAAACCTGAGAAGCTTATAATAACTACTTTATGAAATGTAATTCAAATAGATACCTTTTCTCGGACAAGAATTGCTGAACACTGCAACAAAACTCCCATCATCTTGTGAGGATTCCAAGTGACTGAATTGGCCCTTGAAGAAAAATCATTCTGTAATTACATCACATATGCTTAAAGCATGATCAAACAAGTTCAGCATTATTTGCTGTCATTTTTAATTGGTCCATAGAGCATGATGGTATTAATGGCTAGGTGCTTAGTAGAAATCAATCAATACAGTACAGCCTGATCTGGAAAGAGCAATGTTTAAAAATAGAGTGAAATACTGTGGTTGTTGGAAATCTAAAATAAAAACAAAATGCTGAAGAAACTCAGCAGGTCTGACAGCATCTGTGAAGACAGAAATTATGCTAATATTTTGAGTCTGATATTTCTTCAGAACAAAGTCTGAGAGCTGAATGTTCTGAAGAGTCATGAAACATTAACTCTGCTTCTCTCTCCACAGATTCTGCCAGACTTGCTGAGCTTCTCTAGCTCTTTCTGTTTTTTTTTAAATTATATTTAAAATTGGTGCCCTTCATCAATATATGATCAAAACTATTTTTTCCTTTTAAATGAAGTAGAACCAATATATTTATCACATTCGTTTAACAGATGAATCAAATATTTGCTTTCTTTTCAATATGTTGTAATTCATTGGGTCAGAGAAAATTTGTGACTCAGAAAGTAGCCAGTCAATCCAAGATGTCATGCCAGTGATTAGTTGATTTCCTTGTTTTATGTGAAGTGGATACAGAAGTGTCAAACATAAAGAGAAACACAGAAAAGAACAGAGAAAACAAAGAAAAGTAAACTTGAAAGAGTTCTCACATGAGCAGAAAGCATACGACCATTTACAGAAAAAGGGAAACATTTTTATTTTTCTTTTTCCACTTGTACTGCCACAAGGGTTGTTAACTCACCATGATTATCCTAGAGTTTTAAAGATTTAAAGATTACTATCCTGTATATTGCTGTAAGTACCCAGGATAAAAATAATAGGGCTATTAAAGGAAATCGTGAACTTTTCATTTTCCGTGAACTTTTATTTATTGGTTATAAAAGTTTTGGAGTTGAGATAAAAGGCTGTTTTACTAGATGGGGCAGTTGGGGTTGGGTGAATATATCCAACTAGACATGGAAGCCATAAGTGCCACAATAGTCAGACAGTACGTATTGTTAAAAAGTGCAGCATTTACCTTTCAATACCATTCAGTTTATGGCGATGCTTTCTAGACATCAGAAGTCCACCTCCCCATGCAGCCTACAAATAAGTGAAAACATGATTACTGGTACAGGTTTCCATTAATATAATACAAGAATTGTAGAGTTAAAGCTGAAAACATGACTTACATCAACATGGAGCCAGAGATTATACTTAGCACATATATCGGCAATTTCTTCAATGGGGTCAAATGCACCATATACTGTATTTCCTGCAGTTGCATTAACATAAATTGGAATATAACCCTGTAAAAACACAAGTTTTGTTTTGATACGCCAGTGAATCCAGATCAAGAATTTCTGTGATAAACAGTTGGGCATTAGAAATTAGGTTAGCAATAACAAAAGACATTCTCTTGTAATCTAAGTCACAGTCACCTGGGTCATTGGAATTAAATATGGACACATACCTTTTGTTTAACTTCAATAATTTTTGCTTCTAAATCTGATGGCATTACTTTCCCTCTGTAATCATTATAGAAACAAAATATATATAACATGTATCATTTTCATGGTTGGAAAATCAGCAGATAATAACATTATAATTTTCAAATCATTAACATGTGTACATTTGAAATCAACTCTATGGCTTTATACCGAATTTTACCTTTCATCACATTTTAATAATATCACATTGTCTGTTCCAAATCCAAGGGCAGCTCCAGCCTTCTTTATTGAATAATGACTCTGTAAAAAAAAACAAACAAGTTCGAAATTACTAATACTAGAAAATATGTGGAAACATAATAAATAAATAATAAATTTGACGAATCACACAACTTACATTTTCTGATGTGAACAGAATCAGTTTAGGAGCTGCTATCATCCCTTTGGCTTTAACATCTGGGAAATACTTGTAGCGAGCTGCCATTATACTATACATATTTGATATAGCCCCTCCTAAAAAGAAATAAATTTACCAGGAGTACTTTAAAAGTACCTTTTCAAAAATGTTCTAAAATGCTGATTGAAACCATAAATTTGATATATAATAGTAATTCTATGATTTCTGTTATGGCACCTGCTAAAAATCCTGTCCATTTTCATTCTATATGGAAAAGGTAGTCACTCATGTTGACAACTGATTTCTGTGTTTACAGCCATAATCTCTCTTAGACTGGGACTAAACCCTGGAGTTGACTGTAACCTTGTACCGAAGGCCTAGCCTGATATTACAATTAGTTGAAGTGAGAAATCAAATACAAAGGGGATACAGGAATCAAAGTTCTTTGTGAAACTAGATTTCAAAGATTTCAAAGATTTTAAATCTTTAAATATTTACTTTTCATCTGAACAAATTTTCCTGAATTTAATGGTTAAATTTATGGACTAGTTTGAAATGTTATCCTGTTGAAATAGGTTGTTTTCAATGGATCAATTAGTGCTACCTGCACACAGCACTGACCCATATTCACAATAGAATAATGGCATGAATAACTTTGAAATGGAAAGTAGGCAAGCTAGAGAGAAACTAAGGTTATGAAACTGTATCACAATGTAGGAGATTCAAAAAGTAATCATCAGAGCATTTTCACATTTTCTGAAACTTATCTGGTTATGATTTCTAAGGGTTACGTAGAGTTCCAGGAAATCAATGTGACACAATATATTTGTGCTGACGCTGAACATACTGAGTGATGACATTAGAAAAACAAAATTCAAACTGTCATAAAAGAACAAATATTTCATGATATTGAGCTTCTGTTATTCAATATTGAAAATCCAGACCATTTTATTGGATCTCTGCAGGAAAGACAGTTTCAAAAACTGGACAAAAGTCTATTTTAATAAAAGAGAGTGATATCCAAAGCTTTAATTTACAACATGTTGCTTAGGCTATTAAGATTAGAGTTCCTGTTCATATTTAGCCTAAGATTCTATGTGCCTTTCTCAATTAAACATATTGAATTACTGTTACACTAATGCATAACAGCTTCATACAGTAAGGATATAAAAACTGAAAAATAATTTCCAAGTTGGATTTCTTGCCGAACCTCAAATTGCATATTTGCTTTCACTGGCTTGACAGACGAATCATTTTTCTGTGGCTACACCGTTATTGATTGAAAATCCTACCAAAGTAAATGGATAATATTACCTACCAGGTGAAAAGATTCCATCACCATCCCCATTGGGCCAACCAATTATCTCTCGCATTTTCTTCAGTGTGATTTGTTCCATGAGGACAAAAACAGGTGCTATTTCATATGTAAACCTGTGGGATAAAGTACCATGTGTGACTACACTTCTGAGCTACCATCTCATTTTTAATCATAATGCTTTTAATGAAAGGTTATATGTCATTCATTTATAAGCAATTGATCAAAATTATTCTCAGGTACAGATATTTAGATGACAATGCAATACTTTTGCCTAACTGTGAAATATAGGCATAACTGCCATTTATCCAGCAAAATCCAATTAATTTTATTTTAAAAACGGTTCAACACCATGATAAATCATTTGTAAACATGTCATTGTAAATATTGTGGAATGCCCGTTATTTGAACTCACAGACCATCTGCTGAATACAATAAATATAGACAAGCAGCTAGCAAAGATAATTAAGAATATTGAACTGGATTGCAAAGATCCAAAAGCAATCAGTCATGTAAAATTATCCAGGTGATGATCCCCCAAGGGCAGTTTGTTACTGTAATCCATGGCAGTCAATAAATGTCAAATGTAATTATAAATGATAATTACCAAATACCAAAGAGAGGAAAACACTCAGCCTTTAAAGATAACCACTGCAGGTGTGAATGAAAAATGCAGTGTATACATTGAGAAGAAAATCTAATCACATTTTTGCCTAATTTTTTCAAAGAATGGATTGATAGGTGGCTTAATGTATGGTGATTTGAGCCAATACTATGAACACAGTAACACTTTCATTTACATAGCACTATAACATAATAAAGCATCCTAAGTTGCTTAATGCATGATGAGCAAATTCCTAGCAATTAAAGACATGAGAGGAGACCAAAAGCATGGTCAAAAATATAGGTTTATATGAGGCTTTTAAAAATACATATAAAAGAACCAAAACTAGAAACATTAAGAGTTCCAGGCTCAGTTCACACAGAATGAGCTGCCAGAGGAGGTGATAGATGTGGGTACAATTATAACATTTAAAAGGCATCTGGAAGGTCATATGAATAGGAAGGGTTTAGAGGGACATGGGCCAAATGCTGGCAAATGGGACTAGGTCAGTTTGGGATGTCTGGTCGTTGCAAACAAGTTGGACTGAAGGGTCTGTTTCTGTGCTGTATGACTCTATAACTCTATAACTGTAAATGGCTAAATGTTCTAGAGAAAATGGTAGGGGGGTGTACATTAAAATCATATATCTGCTGACATTAACATTCCTATTACTGTGCATGTTCCTGGGGGTCAGCAAATGCAAACACCATAAAAACCACAGAAAAAGGACCGAAGAGAATGAATTGACTTATTGGAGATTACTTAAGCAGGGAAGGGAATGCATTAAAATATGCTGTTCTGTGAGAATACATACTGTGAAGATATCAATTTCAATGCATTGGGAGACAAGGCACCATTGGAAATTAGCAAAGTAATATAAAAGGAACCTAATGGATGGGACATGGACAGCAGAAGTCAGTTTGAGTAAAATGGAATTTAGAGGACCAATGAGTAGGACATTGACAAAATCAAATCAAGAGATATCAGATGTATGAAGAAAAGTCTTAGAGGTGAAGGGGATGAAATATGTGACAAGGTGAATAATGTTCCAAGAGAATAATGGTCTTTTTTCATATCACTTAGGATGTAGGGTTTAAAATGGCTCATTGGGATTGCACTGCTTGCAGCACACAAAGCCAGCAGTCCGGAAATGGAAGGGCTCAGTGAAATGTTGCATTTTAAAAGTACCCAGGAGAACTGCTGGGCCCCATGAGAAACTTCAAACAATTCAATGGAAAGCTGAGGTATCGCAGCTCTGTAAACATACCAAAACGTCCCCTACACAGAGCTGCCATGTCATTACATTTCACTGAGGATCAGACTCACTTCACTGTCACAGAAGGCTGATTTAACAATTATGCACAACAGCTACTGGGTCCTGCTTGCTCGGCGAAGTTCTACCGCCCATGCATTCGATTACTCTCAGCAGAAAGAACTTCCAGACACATCGATATTAAATTTGCTCTTCTTCAGGTGAATTCATTCTAACTTGTCCTAATTTCGTAACTTGCCTTTAAATATTGCACTTTTTACAAAAATAAAGTTAGATTTATTCTGTGTTAAACTAATGGAACGACCGCAGTACTAAGGGACTTGGGATATCTGTCTAATGTCCAAATGAACTGCCCAGGCCTGTGGCTCTGTCCTGTTTGGTTGGGTTAATATTCGAAGCATGTTCACATGTGACATCAGATATCGTCATTTACCTTACCGTGCTTCACTTATTTTACATATCCTCTCATTACATTAGCTTAAAACACTATTTTTCATAGAATGTTTTGTTTTCTGTCAGTCTCAGTTATGTAGACCTGCAATCCGCTAGACAGCGCTCTCTGGTGTACAAATTCAGTCACAGTCATAAATTCGCCATGGCACTTAAACTCTGGTGCTGGGTGGGGGACTTATTTTCAATTTCTAAAAGATATTTGAATTTTATTTTGAAGTTAATCATGATAATCACGTATCCAGGAAAATAACCCTTGGGCAGTTTGCGCTTCGGCAACATTATGAAGAGGACTGGATGGCTTCAAATCCCTCTGGTAACCTCATACAAGTCTGATGAGCTGTAAAAATCTCACGGAGACATGTCCGAACTGGATGCATCTTCCTTTGTGAGGCTGTCCCTAATAATAAAGTGGAATGGAGTGCATTCTCGAACTTACATGTTAGTGTTAGCTGTAGACGTGAGCCACTCTCCAGCCAAACCGATAATGTCAAGACCAGATGAGAGTTGGTTGAAGAAGCGAGGATGCCCTGCGGGAAGGGAAAACAAAATGAAACATCAAAAGGTGCAGACCCCGACGGCCAGTCCGTTCAAATGTTTCAGTCCATTTTCTGCTGGATCTAGGTTCATGCCTGGAACTGATTGCTTCTTGCTAACCTTGAGTAACAGTCACACATTGCGTTCATACAGAAATGACCCGCACTGAAATCTACGTCAAATCACCCAGTATTTCTGCATCTGGACAGACATTTACTTACGAGTGGGAAAGGATCCAAAAGGTCGCTCGGGGGTGAATACACACTTAGCGCTTTGGGTGCGTAAAATGTGTCTTCGCTGTTCAGTCTTGCTGAAATCGCCATTTTATTCGAGCACAAAAGCGACAATTTTGTAAACTTCCGAAATCTGAAACTTGGGAAAGGGTTGGTGAGGGTCGGAAGCGGTCACCTCGCTAAGGGAAAGCATTTGGGTTAATTGAGCTGAGAGACCAGTGGACATTTTTGTGGGCATTGTCGTTCTCCGGGTTCTGGAGTTAGTGTTATCTGTTGTATCCCTTAACCCTTTCTAGGTTTTCTAAATGTCTCATTACATTCCATGATGTGTTTTTTTTTTCAAAAATGCTAAATGAAAGGTATACTTTTGAAATCTGTAATACAACACGGTACGGGAATGAATAATTAACTGATTTAATTTGTCACCCCGTTACATCAGCAGAATGTCGTGCTTGGTCGTCGTTAAACGCCAATGAAATGTTTTAAGTGTCTGGAATCAGTCCTTCTTTGTCCGAACAAGGAGTCCTGGTGAAGACGGCGGCTGGGTATCGATTCCAGGACAGTCTACAAAGAGATTAGGAATTGAAAACTCGAACTGATAGTCAGAAACTCAGCCACTCGTTGTTACTGGGAAATGGTTACTGCGAACCATTGTGTCTATCATATTCACCTTCAATCTTGCGCTTTACTTAAGAGTATATTGGTGAAATGTTCGTTCAAGCAGGATAACTGATTAAACCAGTGTTGGACGGAGTGATAATCACATTTCAGCAGAAAAAGGTGCGGACAAAATCAAATTCTGATCCTTCCCATTAGCTCGTTCTATTTTGAATGACAGGACTCATGCACTTCTAGGTCAACGGCTCAGTGTACAATGAAAAAAAAACTGTTTTGCGTTAGATTATTTTCGAAAATTGCTTTTCATTAAACGCACATTTCGTTTATTAACATTTATTTACACGAATCAATAGACTGCGGCAGGCAGCTCGGATTCTCACTGCAAAACCTGGACTAGGGCACAATATTTGCAAAGTCGCCGTAAATAACGTGTAAGATCAACCATTCAACTCCGAGCCTGATTCCATTTCCTTAGAAATATAAACACACGGTTAAGAACTTGAAAATTAAATATGTGAATGTACTGGCAATACGTCAGTCCTCCCCAACGCAAGATTATATGATAACGTTTCACTTTATGATATAGTTCTTGCAGTATTTATTTTACAAATGATGAAAACTGCTGGATCCTGATAGCAAGTGTGGCGAAGGGAGTATAAAGATCGGGGTCTCCCTATAAATATACATGGAGCTTCACTTGTAGTTTTATCGGTCAGCACAAGCGATGGTGTAATGAATTAATTTAGTCAGTTCTGTTGATATTGGACGGATTGCAGTAATGCAGTCTCTTTGTTGGAGTGTTATGACTGGAGCTAATGTCCAAACGGGACTTGTGCAATTTAGGAGGAAAGTGACATGAACTATTCGCCGTTTGAAACACACTGAACAAAGAAAGAACTGCGGATGTTGGAAATCAGAAACAACAGCAGAATGGCTGGGGAAAAGCTCAGCAGGTCTAGCAGCATCTGAGGAGAGAAAACACGGTTAACATTTCGGGTTCAGTGGCCCGTGTTCAAAATGGGTGAAATTCACTGTCTGTGTTTATGCTATAAAAATGATAAACCGAGGGAGTGATCTATTTAGTAGCTAGCCTTGTGAAGACTGACAAGTACCAACATTTTCCTTTCTCCTGTTAATTTGGAAATGCTGGATTGGAGAATCCAGAAGGCTTTAATAGGGAACTGTCAGGAAACAAAAGCGCATGAAACCAGGCCAGCCCACAAGATCGTTTCTTTCTGTCACTAGCGCTGAATGACAGCACCAAATGTTCCAGGATCAGGGACACAGCGATGTACTTTGTGTGGGAGCCTCATTTTAATCCAAATCAATATCGACATTGCTCCCCTTAAATAAAATGTGTAGAATGGGGGGAGGGGTGTAATATTCCATAAGATTAGGCACACGATCAGTTTGATGATTACACACAACACCTTGCCATCCGACGTTTGTATCTTCTGTCTGGGTAATTACTCGGTGTTATGCACATATCTATATTTGCAGTAGCAACTAACAGGGCCTGTGTCCTCGCTGTGGCCCTGGTTGTGTGCAGAACAGGAATTTAATGGGGTTTTTTAACGGTAGCACTTCGATTCCGGTGCAGTCCACCGTCAGAATTGCATTAGGTGCCGCTTTCAGAAGCGACTAGGTGAATGCTGAAATCGAAATTTGACCGTAACATCCGAACCCACCCGGTTTGACATCGAGAGACCCACCGAACTCGATGGTACCTTCTATACAACATCTGTTAGACCGGTTTCCCGGCAGTGACATATATGGATAATCTCTGTGTCATGATCCGTAAACGGTTGAATGCATTAAATTAATTAAAACGCGATGAGTTCCGGAATGCGGAGGATGTAACTGTACGGGATTATGTCAGTGGGGATCAGTGAATAACCAAATTTTCACCAGCCAAAGAACGGTGACTGAGAATTACCGATACTACAATAAAGCCAGAAGCTGAGAGGACACTCAGCACTGGCTGAGAGTGGGAGGAATGGGGAAATTTGAACATCTTCTCCATAAGTACATTTTAAAAGAATTGGCAAAATCTGCAGCAGACACCCAGAGAAAAATAAGTGCCTTTCAGTTTCATCATGATCGCAGCCCAATATTACATGAAAATGAAGGTTAAATGTTTGATATGAATATCGTGTACGTCCGTATCCAAATTGACAAAGGCTGTTTATAGACAGAACTACAATAATCACGGCTATCAATCATAATTTCACAAATATTTTCTATTCAGTCGGCAGGAAATAAAGTGTCATTATTATATTCTAGTTAGTTTTGTAGCTCCTACAGAACACTCTCTTTTGATTTGGTGGTATAAAGAAGTCATGCCGTAGTCAACAACTAGAAATTAATCACGTCCCGACACACGAGATTGACTCTGCTCCTTGGAGCTAAGTAGGTCAGTAAGTTATGGCAAACTTCAGCAGCAAGGTACTTATCTCACTGACACCCAGGCTATAACCTTTCTGTTCCACCGATTTTAAAACATGGTTCGTGATAAATTAAAGGATACTGGAACAGAAAACAAAAACAACCCAACAGTTCCCAAATCGCACACGTTGTATGTTCATCCATTTGACAACGGTAGACTTCCAGGTTGCATTTTCGGATGATGGAACTGTGTTAAGGTCACCCGGAATAAAATAAACCTCTCACCCATCACCCAGCACACAGTATATACAAGATACCAGTCAATAGCAACGCCGGCCCGTGTGGAATTCAGAATGATCTACACAGCATAGCCATAAACTTCCTACTCCAGATTATGTAAAAGAAAAGTGAGTATTTTCTACTCAACCGCGAAAAGGTAAAAACCTGGTGAAAACTGAGATGTTAGGCGACTTGTGATCAGAAACTTGGCTTTAACATTGAACAAGTGAGTCTGTAAACTTTACCTGTGCGAACGCCATATTTGAGTGTGTCCCTGCAGTCCACCAAAATCTGCTCAAGAGATTCAGGATTGTCTGAAAGCTCCAGGTTGAAACCTTCTATTCCCTCCAAGAGCTGATGGGGGTGATGGAAGTCCAGTACTTTTGTGGACCTATCGAAAGTTTTCTTGATGTAATTTAGGAGAATGTCGACCACTTCCAAAAGGAATTGTGTGGTCTGCTCTTCTCCATTTTTCGCCGGTAACAAGTCTGAGAACGAATATATTGCACAGATGTTACCTGTATTCTACGATATACAACATGAAAGAAAGCAACATTACGATGTTCGTTGGTTCAATAAAACATACAAACCAGCGGAGTGCTGCACACCACACCGCTCATTCAAGAACAAAATCCGTTCCACTGTTAAAAGTACAAACATTTTAAAACGCAGTGATACCATCCAGTGTTAAAGAGTAACGCAATCAACAAACACAAATTTCAGAAATACCTCTCAACAGAACAAGATTTTTAGAACAAAAAAAAGAACTGTGGATGCTGAAGATCTGAAATAAAAACAAACAAAAACTGCTGGATAAACTCAGCAGGTCTAGCAGCATCCTTTTCTATAAATATAGTAACATGTCAAATAACTAGCGATTCATACAATACATTGAACAATTTATGCGTGCTGCCCTTTCAATTGAAAAACTAGCCCGTTTCCATTGTACGCAATTCCAATAGCTCCGCCAAGCTTTCGCCAAAGCTGTTCTCTGTTAGTCATGACTTACCTCTGGCGTAGAGATTGGAGAAATCAGTCTCCGTGCGCCTGAATATTGAGACCCTTTCGCTATTTTCGCTGGTATTCAGATTCCTGGAGGACTGACGATCTTTCATTGAATTTACGTTCCTGCTTTTATCCTCGATGCTGTTGGACCGTTGCAAAAAACCTATATTATTGCAAGAAAGACCGGTCAGAAATGCTCTCTTCCCGCTTCCAAACATATTGTGCTGTTGTTGTGCCGTTTACAAGTAATGCTAGTCGGCTAATGCGTAGCAAGTGGAAAGATTTTGCTTATTAGAGATCCGCTGTGACCCCCAACAGAGAATTTATAAGGAGTATTTGCCCGTAGGAGGGTGCGGTCACGATGTCGTCAGCACAAAACCAACCATGCAAAAACAAATATTCGTTATTTAGTGTACTGGTAAATTCTAGCTAAATAAACCCGACACATTAGACGGCCAGGAGCAGCCTCTGGAAGAAAGATATACGCGATTCGGAAAGAGCCTCCGGCTAAAGTTTCCAATCTATCAAAATGAAGGGAGTAATGATGGATGAAAACTTACTGAAACGTGCTAACTATCATCTAATGTAAATCTCGACATCTCGAGATTCATTTCCAAACTAGTTCATTGCACGACTGCATAACCGATACAGTGCCATTAGAGATAATATCAGTACAATTACTAGTTCCAGCCACAAAGATCATTTCGGTCGCGGCCTTTCTCAAACAAAAAAATTAATCTGAGCAAGGAAATCGAGCGTTTTCATAGCGCGTAACATTGTATCAAAATCGTTTAAATGTGGGCAATTTCAACCATTGTCAAAACAGTGGAAATACTAGGCTGTGTGAAAGACAATCGCCAGGATTTTTGTTTTTTGTTATTTTTTGGTTCCATCTTCGCTTCTGGGCCCGGTTCTGAGCAGAACTCGCTGAATCAGAATGAGTGCTGTTCTCACTCAACCCTAGCACGTATTCAGCGGATCCCGCCAGAAGATGATCATCTTTTCAGCTTTGAACCACTGGCATTTGACCAGTTAACAATGTGAAAAAGTACTTCTCATGCGAAACGTTCGGCTGACGATCAAGGAGAATTGTTTCCTTTGCAGACGTGTTCGCTTTTTATGCTGGTGAGGGCTAATAATGTTCGTGATATAATTGCAAATCAATCCTTTGGAACATGCCTGCAGAATTTCAAATGTCGTTTCTGTGAGCTGCATGTTTCCCAGATCTAACGATTCACACTCGTGTTCACCAGCCTTCGCTAGTTTTCTGTTCTTTTGTTTCAAAAAAAAACCCCACGTTTTATACAAATCATCTGCCTTAAAGGTATCAGCCATTTGTTGAGAAATATTAACCTAACAAGTAACCCTACAAGAACTAATGCTGCTGTTCATAAGTTATCCAGGCTAGACTGCATTTATGGTGTAATTAGGGGTGGGGAGTGGGGGTGGTGTGCTTTCTGCCGGTGCTATCTCAGAAAACAGCGAGGTGATGAATAGGTTTTTAATAAGTTTTCCAATAATCCGTTCCCCAGGGGAAGGCGGTGCTTGGCCAGATAAGAAGTGAGGGGCTGCAAATCCACGCTACCGAATGAAAGCACCTTTTCATTCTTCTCAACAATCACGTTTCATTTTTGTTGGTAACAAACGTAACATTTAATCCATCCTGTCCCCAAAACAATGATCATTGATTCGGAAGAGTGATTATCTCAGTAAATAGAATATTCCTCATTTAGATATTTATGAGAAGCGTTTTCGCCATTTAACAGCGTAATGACAGCAATCTTTTAAAATCTTAACTCTATTTACATTGCCTTTGTAAGAACTTGATCCAGGGCTGCGCATTAAAACCAGCAGCTCCTCTCCGCAATTTAATGTTCGAGAGAATACAAAATTATTTTCTGAACTGGTATCACTGGATGTGGGCGACAAAACAACGAGAATTTACTTCTCTTCGGCAGCGACTGAATTAACTCGCTCAAAACATTGTTATAATAGAATTCGAGGGTGATTGCTCAGGTGCACATGCAAACTTTGGAGCTGGCGAAGATCCGACATCCGATTAGTTACAGTAACGGCGTGTCCTGCCGCCAGATGGAGCAGTCTGTGGACACGGTTCCTTTCACAGTCCTTACTCCCAGAACCAGACCCGCTTCACATTTAGTCTGTCCGTTAGCAATCCGCTTTGTGGCCGAATTCATTTTGCTCATAAGTAAAATGTTTCGTTCTCGGGTGCAAATTTTACTCAATAAAGCAATACTGCAGTTGGTGCCACTGAAATGGAGGGTGAAGGGAAATAGTGGGATCAACAAGATATATTTCATGCATCGTCGGCCCAAAACGCTTTGTTTTTGCAACTAAGGAATATTGAAGAATTAATTATGTTTTGACGCCGGTTGTGCCGCAAACATCAAGAATGATGAATGGCACGACTCTAAGTAGCTCAGAGGAACAAATGGATCTTGGGGCGGTTGTCCACAGATCCCTGAGGACAGCAGGATAGGTTAATAGGGTGGTTAAGAATGCATATGGGACCCTTGCTGTTATCAGTGGTGGCATCGATTATAAGAGCCGGGAGATCATGTGAGAGCTGTGCAAAACTTTAGTTAGCCCCCAACTGGAGTACAGTGTGCATTTCTGGCCATCACACTATAGGAAAGATGGTTGCAATGAAGGGGGTGTAGAAGAGATTCAGCAGGATGTTGCCTGAGATGGAGCATTTCAGCTATGAAGCTGGATAAAGTCAGGTTGTTTTGTTCGGAGCAGACAAGGTTGAGGAGCAACCTGATAGAGATGTATCATATTATGAGGGCCACGGACAGGACGAGTAGAAAGCAGCCGTTTCCCGCGAGTTGAAGGGTCAATAATGAGGGAGTATAATTCTCAGGTGAAAGACAGGAGGTCTGGACGGGATTCGAGGGGAAAATGTTCACGCAGCGAGTGGGGGGAATCTGGAATGCACTGCCTGGGAGGGTAGTTGAAGAGGGAACCCCCACAACTTTTACAACGTACTTAGATGAGCACTTGAATGTCAGAAGATTCAAAGCCATGGGCCAAGTTGTAGAAAGTGGGAATGGTATAAATTTAGAGTCAGGTTTACCGGTGCAAATTCAACGGGCCAAAGAACTCTCTTCAGTCTATGTTTCTAGAATCTGGGGCCGTTATAAATATACAATTGTCATGGGAGATTGGGAGGATAGACACCCCTGGAGATTACACCTGTGATTTGCATCAATCTACAGTTCAAAGTACAGGTGTTTCTTTCGAGTTGAGGAACACATTTAGCCAGGGTAGTGTTGGAGTGGAAGAGCAACAGTTAAATCTGAAAACCAGATCAGGAATATGGAAATTCCAAATAGATAGCTCAATAACATCACATGCAGAAGTCTGGAAAACATTTCAGGGTAATGGAATGATGCCAGCGGACAAACATTGAGAACAGAGAGGGGTTAGATTATGTTACATTTAACCCATTGGGAGAATTTCCCAGGGTTCAACAGATAGCCGGTGAAGACGCCAAACCTTGACAATATAGAAGTTGTTACAGACGTAATATAAATGTCATCTAAATAGAGTTTAACTGTTTCCAGTGCACAGCAACTCGATTTCCCCATAGTCAGAATATGGTTAAATTTATTGTTTTGGAATTAATTGCACTAGATTAATTAGGTTGTTTACTGTTCATTTTCGGTTTGTTGAGATTTGTTCATGGTTAAAACAATGATTCCTTCCCATTGTAAAGCTATCGTCATTTGTTAGCACAAAGTCACATTTATCAAAGCTTTGAAACCGAGTCGGATGAAATGTTTTCAAATTGACTGGAGTGTCTAATCCAACAGTGTTTAGATTGAAAATTTGGGTCTTTTGTCAGTGAAGACAGTTGGATTACGAAAGCAGCGTAGTCGCATATGTCTCGTGTATAATTGTTGTAAAATATTGTTGTTTTCTGTGAAAAAAAATTTAGGATGCATGGAATTAGTAATTTGGGATAAAGTGATTTAAGAAATTCTTAAATGCTCACTCCGCAAAGTAACATTTCTCCTGGATCGGAATGCGAACTCTGTGGCATTCATAGTACTTATTATAAATTTCAGTAAAGCTTTATTTTAATAACTAGTACTTTATTTCGCACCTTTTTGAATTTGTTTTAACCTTTAGCTGTTACCCAAGTTCACAAACTTCGTCAAGTTGCAAGTGTTAAACTTGTCCCATCCAGTAGGAGGAGCCCAAGTGCGACTGAAGTTCGAGATATACAAGGTGTAGGACTGGATGAACACAGCAGGCCAAGCAGCATCAGAGGAGCAGGAAGGCTGACGTTTCGGGCCTAGACCCTTCTTCAGAAAACCTGAGTTCCTGCAGGTCCTACTATCTCTGCGACTGAAGTTACTTTTTCAAACCACTTGAGTTTTATTTTACGAAGGGGATTCAAAGGTATTAATCCATGTCCTTGCATTCCACCACAAAGCAGCTGGGTTGCGAATGCATCATAGAGAAAATGATTATTTAAGGTGTCTGACCTAATTATTTAATATCCCTGTATCCTGTCTTCCCGTTGAGCCAGACCTTCTTAAAAAAAAGCAGGATGAATGAAGGAAATCTCGTTCAGATCATTCACTGTGAGAAGTAAACTCACATTTCATTTAAAACTATTGGGGGGTTTGGCATTTTACTTCGTTCCGAAAGAAAAATTTCAGGAAGGAAAAGGCAGTTGAGTGCAGTCATAAGAAGAAAGGCATTTCATTCACAAAGTTATCAATATGAGGTGACCAGTGTTGCTATTTATCTAGCTGCTCATCTTTGTCTTGTTAAGAGTATTTCAGAATTTTACTGAAATTACCATTGTACGTGATCAAGCTCTTCAAACTCTTAACAAATCTATTAAATTGGTTGCAGTATTACGCCATTAATATCATTTTTGACCTGGGCCTCGATAGCCTAAGCAAACGTTTGAGTGCAGTACCTAGGAAGTGCTACATTGCCTCAGGTTTTTTTTTCGAGGATCAGACATTAAAAGGAGTGCAAGGTGATCCCAAAAGATCCCAAGCAAAATTCAAAGAAAACACCAGGGATTTGTCTCCGTGACCAGCCCCATCAGAACAGATGTGTTCATGGAACCTTTGCGGTGGGCAGGCTCGCTGTTGCATTTGCCTATAAACCACAAGTGAGTACAGTTACAATTAAGTGACTAAAACGCAATCCGTCGGCTGCCATGTCTTTTGGAACGTCCACAGGGTGTGACAGGCGCGAAATAAATTATTGCATTAAGTCAGCCGTATGAAGAACTACCTATGTTTCCAATGACATTTGCTCAAAAAGTTAATTTAGCGTTTCCACTCTAATTTGCCATGCAGACAATGCCGTCGCCACCCCCACCCCCCCAAAAAAACGTGCATGAAGTAAAATAATTCTCAGCTCTCCATGTTATTTTGTCTTGGTCGTTTCTTTATACAATACGTGTATAATATTGAAACTCCGACCAAAGTTAGGACGAGTTATTTGCTGCATTGGGTATTTCTCATCGCGGATTCTTTCTATGCTACGTCTTAAAGGATTCACCAGGAATGCCATTATATTACATTTTCTAAAAAGTGAGAAAATCGGTGATGGGGCCCAAATCCACCGATTTTATAATGAACAATAAAGACATTGATGTAACATTAAAGATGACCATTCGAGCAATTTGGGGAATTGACTCATGATGGGTGGAATCAAGTTGCCCAGCACGTGTATCGGTTTGCCCTGATAGATATCTAGAATATTCAAATGACCTAACATAGACCCGTGAAATACGGAAGAACATACCGCAGATCTTCAGACCAAGTTTTCTTGTACATCCGTGAGCAACTCCACACCAAGTGTCATAGGCTGGAAGAGGAACAATGAGAAAACGGTAAACATATTCCCCCAGATTGTACCCTCTTGTAAAGTCTCTATACCTAACCATTTAAGTACATTGCGTGACTGAATTACACGAAACGCATAAAACAATAAATCGAGCTCGTAAAACTTATAAAACCCAGAAACGGAAAGACTTGAATTTGAATAGTGTCCTGTTACGTCCCCGAAACCCAATATCTTCCTGAAACGCAGTAATTACTACAACGCGGGCAATCTGACAACATTTTCAAATAAATGAAAATACAAACTCCGCATGAATCAGTCGGAGACCCTTGCACAATTGCAGCCAGGAATTGACACACTTGGATAAACAATGGCGGTAGTTTTAACATTAACGTGGTGAAAATAATCCTTAGTATTTTGTTTGTTCTCCTTTTTGATTGTGTTTCTTTAAATTCCAAATAATCAGTTCGTTCGAGGGTTGAATGCCTAATAAATGTTGGCACACTTCCGGGAAATTGGAACCTTAAAACAAACTGGCGTGAAATGAGGTCGGAAGAGTGTCCCAGAAATTAATTAGCTGAAAAATGGTATTTGACTAGCTCGGATCTGCATGGCTAGCAGTCAACCAGTAAATATTGCACTGTTTCACACGAGTCTAAGCATTTCACATCAATCGTTTTTACAAATATCCACCTATATGTATGTATTAACGCGGGATTGTATTCGTTTTCCGCATATTAATGATTTCTGCAACTGTTTATTTCGCAATCTGACCAATTCGTATGGCTATTAGGCTGTTGATCAGTCCTGCGTGGTGAATTACAGGGATCATTGTGTCCATTATACACTCGAGAATGAAATTTATTGAATGACGACCTTTGTAAACATTAAACTCTTCAATTCTTACACAAAATGCTGGCATGTAGACTGCCTACAGTATGCACACATTCATATTGTTTATTTTAATTAATAATAACGAAAGTGCAGTATATGTTTTGCTTAATCTTAACGGTTGAATGAAACAGCAATTTGGACGTCTCTCCGTAGTCTGACAAATCTACAGCCCGGGTTTATGGTTCGAATAAACACTAATGGCATCACAAAGCCCGTACAATAGCCACCCACTCAAAAGCAACGGAGAATTGAAAAAGTCTTTAAAATGGTAAAATACCAAGGCACGTCTGATGGATATGTTGTAGAAACCATACTTGGGAGAAATTTAATACATGTCAAGATTTTTGTATGTTGGAATAGGAAGATTATTTGAAAATAAAGATTCAATTTGGTGGAAAATATATTTAGATAGTATTATCCAAAGAAAAATGTTAATTTCAAATTTCAAGTGGTTGCATCCAAATACGCCGTTAAGTGTATCGTCGAGAGAAGGTTATCCCTTTATCTGTGTTAACTAGTCATTATGATTCATGTTCCAAATCTGGGATTAGTTACGAAAAAGGTTATTTTTGACATTCTTGGCAGTGCAAAAGTCGACGCTGTCCAGCTGATTTTCCCCTCATTGTTTCTTTTTTAGTGTGGTTAGGACAGCTGTGTCCACAATCTCTGCTCTGCTCTCTTTTTTGTCGATTTTTGTGACAGTCCGGGTGAAGCCTCTCTTCATGACACTTGAGCGAAAAAAACCTGACAGACAAATGCGCCTCAGGTCAGTGACTGGGAGATCAAACACGCTATGAACTAATGATCTCGGGCTCGGACAAACAAGAAACACAATTACAGGCGAAAGCACAAAAATACACGCCGTGTGCGCTCGTATTTACTATTATATTTGCTACACCAAAATAATCATTCATTAACCCACTTGCTTTCCTATGAATGGAGTTGTAAAATGTATTTATATGCTTCACATTGTACATTCTCTTTAAAACCTGATTTTGCCAAGTAGAATTAAATTGGGCTAAATCATAAATTGTGTGCCGGAATTTTTCCTACACAGTCGTTTTCCCAAGGACAAGCACGAACGGGTGAACTTCACGACTACATTGTTTCAATGCGTGTATGTTATATATAAGATATGATATACACACATCAACATATATGTATGTATAAGAAAACATGAAGACATTGAAATAATCAAAGTGGGGCAATATCAATTTCACGATTCTAAAGTTTGAAATGGATTGTCAGAAATACAAACGCATTCTAGGTTAGCCTGTCCGCCTTGGCAGATGGAAAGAATAATTGCGCCTGGGAGCGTCTGAAAGCCTTTAGGGCAGAAACATTACATGTGTAATGATCGGAATGCCCGTCTTTATTTCTGGTAAGTTTTTCTTTGTCAGTGTCGATTATGTCTTCGACTTTTTTTTGTACCTGATGTCAAAATTGTTGAGGCAGTGTGGGAAGCTGATTAGATCCATCAGCGCCATTCTCATCCCTGCCAGTTCAATAGCTCGCTTTCGTTCGCTCTGTGCCGTCGCAGCTATTAGCGAGTTCATAAGAGCTACAATTAGCTGCATCAGGCGCCTTCGCTTTCTCCTATAATTACATTTGCACTCAGACTCTGCGCTAAAAGGGCTTGTTGCGATAATGAGCGAAGTGCATTTTCATAAATTGCTAAACCGCGTTGAAATTATTGCTTAAAAGACTTATTTTACATACAGCTGTAGGCTCATTTCCACGGGTGTGAAAAAGAATTGCGGTTTCCAGCTGTTGTAAACAAAGAAAAAAATACAATTGAATAAACTATCAGCACTTTAATAAGTCTGGAAAGCTAAGGACCCCATTATGAAACATTTAACCAGGTAACAGTACTGGTGATGTTAACGCCGCTTAGCAGTAGTCAACGTGCACTTTTATTCATTTATGATTTTCCTGGGAGTACTTTCTGTCTACAGAATAACCATTAGCTCCTTCAGTCATCTTCTTGTGTTGTGTAAAAATGAAGCAGCAATCGCTTACTTGTGCTTCTATCCGCCGGCCGTAAATTTGTTGAATTGGAGTCTTGACTCGCGCCAGAAGATGAAGGAGCAGAAGATGCCATCGGTTCTGACAGACGCGAGGTCTTTGATTAACTGGGGCTGACGTCTTCTTTCGAATCCTTTCTTCTCAGCGTAAAGACACTGGTTTCTGTAAGGAAAATAATAACAAGACAGCCTTGTTAGTTTGGCTTTAAGCCCGCGTGTGTCTGTGTGCGTGCGTGTGTGAGGACGATGGGCTTTGAGTACGGTCGTGCGCTTTCAAACATTTCACTTTATTAGCATTCAGGGCGCTGAAGTGCTCTGATGGAAGGTGGGAAAAGCTGTGGATTGCGCTGGCACAGGCATGTCTCGCGTAATCGCAAAGCTGCATTGAAATCAGTAAAGGTGGAAAGATATCAAACAATCTTTCCAAACTGTTTACCAGTTCTAACGCAGGCAAAGATCTCACGAACTGCATCGACTGAAATAATTTCTATTGCCTTTGCTTCACCGCTAGGCAACCTACAATATGCATTTGAACGGTAAGCGTTCCAGTAGGACAGTGCCATCTCCCCACATAGATTACAACAATTGTCAGTCAACAATGGAGTTATGGTCATTGTCAATTTGAATTTGTTTATGCAATAATATTGATGAATTAACCAACCGCACCGACCGGGACCAGACAGCATTGTTACACTCAATGTGATTCTAATATTGTCCAAAACGATTTAACCAAACTATAAAATAAACAATGTAATGGTCAGTGAGAGCCTTTCGGTTGGAAATCATAAAATGAAAAGAACCGACATGACGCAAAGCACAAATCCCCCTTGATTACACCACAATTACATATAATTAAATTGTAACTACCCATCCAGAAATAGAGCAAAATCCACAGTACGAGCGAGTTTCCATAGAAATGATTACTCAACATTTAATTCACACTGACAACGTTTGGACCACTCGATGGCATCGGGACACAATGTGCTTCAATTTCAAATTCAATGCTATCGGACGTTTCCATGTTTTCTAAGACCGATTTCACTTACCCGCTGGGATTTTAAACTCCCAAAACTATAATTCCGTGAATGCACAGGGGCACGGGAAAGTTGGCAGTGAACTTGATCAAAATGCCTGGTACAGGAAAAGGTAGTCTCTAATAAAATGGTATGTTTCAGGTGAACGATGACGAGGACCTTACCGCCCTGTGAAGACGCCCAGGTAGCAGGCTCGACCATCTGACTCCCGACAACTAAATTAGATCCTTAAATGCAAGTTTTAGTCAGCATGAAGGGCGCTTTTAATACTCCAAGGGAAACGACGTCTGAATATAAATAGAGTACAAAAATTCCGTTCAGCATGACCTTTTTTTTCAGAAGTACGTTTGATTTGCTGTTTTAAAAGTGTGAATCGTCCGTTTATCTGACACGATGCGCGAATGACTCACACATCACCTCCTCTACTCCAAAATGTGTCATGACAAGATTGACCAGGTTGCTTTGTCTGCAGAAATCTACCGCCCGCTACCGTTCCTCTGGAGTGACGTGACTTTTCAGCAGGTACCTCTTGATGCCTTCAGGGTTTTAGTCCTTGTTTCTGAATCCTGATCATGGAGAGCAGGTGCATCTCAGCAAGGTTGGAGTCTATAACAATAGGTTTACGTTTTAACCGCAGATTTTAGAATTTCTGACACGAAAGGAACCTAAGTGACAAGACTTTGCAGCACAGATTTCAAACTATGAATCGATTCTCTGTTGGTTGTGCCAGTCTTACTTCTTAAGGAATCTGTACAGCTTTTCTTCTGTTCACGACAGAAGGAAGCTCGATCAACGTACATCCACTCTATTTCACACATAATCCAACAGATTTAAGAATAAAATTTCCTTTTTTCCCCTCCCCCCATGTTCATGCCCAATTGAGGTGTCATTAAAAAATTAAATGCCGGACATTGTGGGTTGGTTTGCAATTGCTTTGTGGCCATTGTTTTCGGGCACGGTAGGAACCAGAGAGCAAGATTCAACAGCAGAGGGCGTCCCAGCTCGTCAAATCGACAGTAAGGTGCACTTTGGAGAGACACCTACAGTACAGGTCTGCTGAAGCCTCTTTATTCACAGGCACTTTTGTTACACTTCCAGTTTACGAGAAAAAAAATATAAGAACACATGCAGAGCTGTGAGATTCCCGGCAGTTAACAAATTATGACTTTTTAAGCAGGGCGTTATGTTTTAAACAGCGGTGAAAGGATGGGCGGGCGGAGACACGAAGGAAATGGCAGGGCGGGAAGAACAATACGTCAGCATTTCAATTGCAATGAAGTGACGAAGAATCAAGTGCGTGTAGGATTGTGTGAGGATTACATTGGGGAAAAAAATCAGAAAGGCGGCGATGCCTTGAAGCGGGCACGACTGTATATACTGGATTTCGAACTCAGTTATCATGCGAAGCATGTGGCAGCTGTTATCGAAGGCCATGGCATAAACAAATTAATGTCAATAAAAAGTTAGAAGAGAAATCCAATTTCACGATTTGTGCGAGACATAGTGCAAAGCATTGTGGTAGAGTAAAAAAAGAGTTTTCCCAAATCGGCAGCAAGCGACAAGCAGGCTGTATGATTGCATGCAGACTATAACAAACCCCCTTCCTCCCGCCACAAACCACTCACTTCACCCCACACACCCATATAACTGAAGATGAATGAAAACGCAGGGTTAACGACCATGTGATAAAGGAATGATCCCAGTCGTGGAAGTATCGGGACACTTGTTGTTCTCTCAAATTTAGACTAATACTTCGCAACATGGTACTATTCTGTTTATGTTTGTTTTACTGAGGAATGTAATTATTATTTCACGTTATCAACTTTTTCAAATTGAGAAAATAAAACTAATGTGTATATTTGTAGCGAAAAAAAATGTTCAGTTAAGCAGAATATTGCCACACCACTCAGATTTCCGGAAATATAGTCGCATAGGTCCATGATGCAAACTTTGAATCTACAAATGAACGATTCCATTACACAATTGCAGCACTTTACATGTTTCGCTGCACAAATATTGAAATTATCTCGCGGCGAGACACTGAAGCAAAGACTATTGAATTTACACGGCAGAAAGCAAATAAGAAAATACTTAAAGTATATGGATTTTAAGTCCTGAAATTGAGAAGTTAGGGAAATTCTAACAGATTTGTCGCTTTACAAAGAATGCAAACAATGGATGATGCATTGATACCGGAACAATGTCGGAAAATTAAACATAAGACATTGAAACGATGGAACTCATGGGCTTTGGGAATTGGGGGGAGTAAATTAATAGATGAAAATACACCTCCAATGTTTTAAACTATGGGAAATGGACGAGACTGAAGTCGAGGTTGTATTTCCATTTTAAAACATGAGCCCTTACATTCAATGGAATAGTAAATTTTGATAGCAAATCGTCCCGCATTTTATTTACATTATAACTACAGACGACACTGCGACCTTTGTCATTGCAAATAGTGTGTGTTTATGTATGTATGTGTTGCTAAATATAGTTTGAAAATCTTATTGATAATTACAAAATCGTTTTTGATGCAATTGGTATTCTGTTAAACCAATTCCGCTCTCCCAACTAAGGGAGCTACTTGTATCGCCCATCATTACATTCTGCAAACCTGGAATGAAATTCTAATCACTTACTTAGATCGAGGTTATTTGTTTTTGTTCAAAGCTGTTTTAAATACCAGCACATGAGTGTCAATGTCGGCAATATTTATACATTGGTAACTTTAAGCCTTTAGCATTTCCCTACATTTTGAAGGGGCAGTGTAACTGTTGGACTACATACAGGTGAATTACAGTTCCCTAAATTTATAATTATGTTGCCGTGTATGTCAAAAAATATCAATTCATTGGAATTTCAAATGTTTTGCAACTGTAATATTTTATTTAACAACACTCTGCCAGTCTATTATGTCCATCGTGGAATTCCACAGATTGCATTTCAGACTCTTAAAGTGACATTGGGATTACCGGAGAAGATTTCAAGACATGCCTAAAGTGAATAATTTTAGTGAGAGTGCAGAGGTTCCCCTGTCGTAGGAGAACAACTAATGTTGACAGACGTTGGCTTGCCCGCGGCTTCTAGAAGACGAGATAACAAGGTGTAGAGCTGGATGAACACAGCAGGCCAAGCAGCATCAGAGGAGCAGAAAGGCTGACGTTTCGGTCCTAGACCCTTCTTCAGAAAAAGCTTCTAGAAGACGGTACGGTTTGTATTGCCCTTAGAGCGCAGTAACAGCAAGCTCCTGACTTGATGCTGCTGGCTGTGGAATGCAATGCTCGATTCTTGAAACTGTTAATTACTTTCCCGTTGAACTGAGCCAAACATTCTCTTGAACTAATGATTGCTCCGTGTGGTTAATTCTAATATTATGGGAGTGGGCAGGAAGTTTTACTTTTTCATTTCAAGAGGAAAGGCACTATAAGTTTTTTTTGTAACATTTTCAGAGGATCCAATGACAATTTAGACATAGGTTTGTGCAGGATTCAGTTGGACTGTGATGTGTAAAAACTCTAAGATGGTCCCAATTTTTCCCTTCAGCACAGCTGGATTTGCCAATCCTGCTCCTCCGCCACATTACCAGATTCACCGCGATATTTAATAAAAACCGAAAGAACTGCGGATGCTGTAAATCGGGAACAAAAACAAAGTTGCTGGATAAGCTCAGCAGGTCTGGCAGCATCTGTGAAGGAAACAACAGAGTTAACGTTTCGGGTGCGGTGACCCTTCCTCAGAACTTCTCCGGCAACTTTGTTTTTGTTCACTACGATATTTGTTAGTTTGGGGGAAACAAACGGCTGAAGTCTTAGTGCACAGACTCGTGTGCTTCCATCGAATAATATAGTACTGAAAAAATCTTTACTGGGAACTTCATCAGTTCATTTGCCATAAATCGGGTGCCGCTGGTAGATTTAAAGGCCAGTCTGGTATACCCAGATGTTAATTTCCTTACAGCCTCCCGTGCGACTATCACGCCAGCCTCCAACTAGTCGGTGATTGAGTCTTAAAGTCATTATGGCCCATTGACTCCATGCTCT